GAGCATCTGTTGGAGCTCGTCCTCCCTGTGTGTCCCGCACTGTTTGCACTAGTTGATATCTGTCAGCCGCTTTTCGGCTGATTCAACACGTTGAATCGGTGTCGGCCCATTGGCCTTGTCACTGAGGGAGACCACTCTGATTGGCTGTTCAGCTCAGTGAAGCAATGAACAAGGACAGTTCTGGAAAGCTCCTTCACCCTGTGGCTGTAGTATCAATGATTTCACTCATTTAGTGCGATGTCTCCATGTTTTTCGCCTTCACAACCTCCTTTTTTGTTCCACAACCAAAAGACCAAGGGCAGAGAACGGCAATGCCATTTGCAACTTATCAGACATATTCTCAGTTAGAAGCAGCTATAAACAACAGCTGTGTTGAACGAGAGCTGCTTTGTTTACAGCATGTATTTCTGTCTAGCTCTTCTTCTTTCCCTTTCTGAATGGTGAGTTACAGATACTGCCAACTGCTGGTGGGGGGAGTTATTTCTCTCCAGTAGGCACAGAGCGTACATACTAGTCGGCCATTGTGTGTTCAAGTGCCACTTTTTCAACCTGACTGGCCCAGACAAAGCCAGCGTGAGGGGACACAGCAGTCGGCCTACATCGCTGCTAATTCTTTCATGTCGGCTTGGTGTGAGTCTCTGCCCTAGGACAGAGATTCCTAAGTAGTTTATAGAAGCTTTGCCTTTTGACACTGAGCAAGAAAAAAGCCAGCATAATGCCCTGTGTTATATTTACACAGGTACTGGCATTCCGGTATTAGAGGCACGATGTTTCATGTGATGCCCAGTGTGACGTACAATCATCCATATGCGGTAGCACACATGTTGGAAATACTAAGTTTACCAGGAATGTTACTGAACTCAAATCAACAATGGTGGATGAACAGAGTAGGGATGTGCTTCTGCTCATCCTGCACATTTATGAAGATTTGAACTCAAAGTCGGTGTGTGGTCTACAGCATCTTGTGATTATGGCCATAGATTATTTTTCTTGTGATAAAATGTAAATCCTGTTGCATTGCCATTATTTTTAGATTCAATATAATGTTCAAGTTAAAAAAAAAGTAAATAGATGGGAGAGAGGTGGAAAATTTGGACTGGTGGATATGGAGTTTATCCAGTTGGATTAACAATTTAACAGTCCATTGTTTTTTATTGTTGTTTTCATAATAGAAGATACTATTTTTGGCCAGCAACTTAATATTATGGTTAGTCTGATTTGCAGTGTAATCCTCCAGTTTTCTCCAGAATGTGTGAACGATGACAAATGAAGGTACCACATGGAGCTTTTGTTAATGAAGAACTGCTTGTTTTTGATAACCTGATAAAGACAAGTACTCAGTAAGAGATTTAAATGGATTTGGAACTGAATTCAGGTTTAATAAAATATTATTGAACGTCATCCTGCATGACGATGCAGCTGTGCATTTTGATAGAGGTGCTAATGCATAAATAAATGCAGCAGTGTGCCTGCAAAGGCACTGAAGAAGACTGAAAGCTATCAAACATTGATGTAAACAATATGGAATTGAAGGTATTAAAAATATCGGCTTTGTAAATGTTTTATGAGGTAGAAACTGGATTCAGCACATTTGTTAGATCCCCAGGATACACACTACATTTTGGTGGCACACTCAATAGGAACATGATTCTTATTTGTTTACAAGAAAACTCTACAAAGCACCTTCTTTAAGATGCAAACTTGAAATGCTTTTTGCTGTGTCATAGTTGTTCAGCGGCTGTTGTAAATATCCTCATCCTGAGTTACTGTGTTGCAAGGGAATGTTGTAACTACTCTTTGGCTTTGGAGACAGTATTGTAGAGACAGGTTCCACTTTCTAGCATTTTGCTTGATGACGCCAATATAGCCATAACTATTTGAATGTTCACTGTATTTAAAAAAGATTCACTATTAATGTATTTTTAAGGGCAAGTTGTTTCCTTTTATAGAGGGATGTTAAATTATGGAAATACTGTAAGCAGTAACATTCCCCTTTGCTTATAAACGACGGTTTTGTTGCCGACCCTGAATCAGCCACAAACAACTTCAAGGTTGAGTGCAGTCGTGTATGAGCGAAAATGATTTTGCTTAGGAGTGCACAGGGAATACAAACACTAATAGGGATCATGTTTTACATGATCACATTAACACCTTTCAATTCCAAATGACTGCTGTAGTGACACATACTTGGTGAATACAGTCAAGATGGAAAATAACCAGAAAGGTCATTTCAGCAAAGATTCTTAGTGACCCCTGTTCCAGCTCCGAGTTGCTTTCCACTGCTCTACCCAAAACTCTGACGTTTTCAATAAAAACATGCTTCTCTGAAACATTTACTACTCTTGTGTTTCCTGAAATGATAAATCCAAAACATCTTCGATTCTACACAAAACTTAATGTTTTAATTCTCTGTAAGCCACAAGTTACAAGTGAATTATATTCTGGCAAAAAGGATGTGTACTGGAGCAGGAGGGGAGGGAGAACCAGGGCAGAGCCTTGTTGTCAAGCAGCATATTTTATTTTCTCTCCCAAAGGTTTAGAGGAGCTTTTGCACTCTGGAGTTTTATTGGAGGTCACAAGGTTATTATATAAACAATTCACATGGAGGCCCAAGCACCCAGAGGGAATGTTTAATGCAATGCTCACAATTTCTGCAATGTTGTAATGCTCAAGACACAGACATGTGTCCAATTTTAACCATGCTGCTCTATCTCCCTCTCTCCACTTTTTTCTTCGTCTGTTTTGTCGAGGCAACTGAAAACCACGCTTAATTAATTTGGTCAGCTGCCTTGGATAAAGTCCAGTGATGACATCAATTAGATTCTAATGAAAACAGATAAAAGCCATGGAAAGCAAATGGAATTTTTGAACAGGACTCATCAAAGTCTTAGCATTGGAACAAATTCCTGTAACATCTCACAAAAGCCTTTAATTTGTGAAGCTCATGTCAGATTTGGTACTTAGAAGTACATGGTCAAATGATTGAGTCTTAAGTCCTGTGCCGAGAGAAGCCAAATCAGTTTTAATTTGGCATGTATCTCCTTATGCTGTCTGAAACATGTGGTTGGATGCAATCCTTGGATTAGCACAGACTTTAGAGCTGCAAATTTGGCTTGTTTCTCCTTTGGCAAAACAAACATCCAGTCTCTAACCCATCTGTAATACTACATTTACATTTCCAATCTCGGGGAGGGGGAAAACCACATGCTTACTCTGGATTAGTACTTCTTAGTTAACCAAATTGCTGCAATTATGTGTGTCAGTCCATTGACGTGGGATGATGTGGCTCCATTTCTTTCTCCTTCACTATACATCAGTTCCTAATCCAAATAACTCAGCCTGTTTTACAGAAACTGTCTACTTTCTTCTTCTTTCAAACAAGTAAAGAAATACAATATGGAAAACTTAATGTAGAATATTTTAAATGTTTACTAGATGTGAGAGTTACTTAAATGCCCTACCATGTCATATTAATCTTTCTGATTCTAAAGAAATATATTGTGCTGAGTTTGTCTACTCAATACCTTTACATCTTTATTTACAGTAGGCAGTGCAGTCCAGTTGCACTGAGCATTGGAAACATTATTATTTGTTGTAGCTACAGTCTAAAACACACACACAACAATATGCCTTTAACTCAAACAGCAATCAGTGTTAGATATTTAAAACTGATGCAGTGTCAAATGTATGCACATGGAGCCCAATATGATCTTGAACTTAAACCTACAAAAAATAAATAAACTATTAAAACAATTTAAAATGAAATGACAAACCTGTTAGTCAAAAGCTGCTTCATTACACATCCAGTAGATATGATTTTATACAGTATATATGTTTATTTGGACTTGTGTGTGTGTGGCCACCTGACAAATGTGAGTCAATATTCACTCTCCTTTTTGCTCTTTTTTTGTCTCCACCAACTCCTGATTCCTGGCAAGAGGCTAAATGCTCCATTATGAGCTAGTTGCTAACTTTGTCTGACATCCAGTGCTGTGCAAGTATCATGTACTGATATTAAAAATCTTTTAGTTGAAAACTGCTGCCTGCTGCATCTGGAAACGACACTGATGGTGAAAGTTGCCTAAAACAAAAACCTGTTAGCTGGAATGTGCTAAAAAAAAGGCCCAGTAGAGCCGAAGAGAACTGCTGTGTTAGTGGATAATTCTTTGTGGACCTGTAACCCCTTTCACATTATATATAATGATTTCATCCTTTTGAATATAAAATAGATCAGTTCATCTTTAATCTTACAGTATTGTCATGTCCTAAAATTCAAGTGTTTGTGGCTGACGCAGCTAAAAATCAAACTTAGAGCTGCAAACAACACTGTTAATCCAACCCCATTACAATGTTACTTGTTATAGCTTTCACTAAAAAAGTCTTAAAATGTACAATAAACTGCATTCACACTTAACCATAGTATGATGTTTGATAGCACCAACATACATAACATTGCATAATAATGTGGTGCACCTTTAATCTTTGAAATGATGTACTTATATTTACAATTGCAATGCTGGTATAGGTATAAAATCATTAGTACTTGTACACTGAAGTTGGGTTTTAAAGTGTATAGGCAAATGTTTATTTTAATATGGATGTATGTTACTTTTTTAATGGACATTTGTCGAACTGGGACATGCGTATTCCCCATACAGCCTCAGTTACTTTACTGTGTAATCTACTTTCAGTGACCCTGCAGTACAGTTGTTGACTGTATAGGTGTTTGTTTTATAAACTTTTAACTGCCTCTTAAAAAGGTTTTTCTTATTGCTTTGCATGATTTAGTGTACTTTTTTGCTGTTTTTGCTCCCGTGGCACTAGTCCAAAAAAGCACTGATAAAATAGAAGAAGTTATATTCATTGTTTTGTGTCTAAATTCACTGATATAGTGTTTGTTCCTTTAGACTTTCTACAGTTTGAATGTAGAAAAAGGGGAAGTATTCAATAAGCCGTTTTTTGTTTCTCTTGGTGTGTGTGTGTATGTGTCTCCATCCCAGTGGACTACCCTCCCCCTCCACCACCTGCTGAAGAGTCGACTGGTTTCCCATCATCCCCCGGTTCCTTCCCTCCGCCACCGATGAACTCATACGATTATCAGGTGAGAGAGGCTAGTTCTGTGTTCAGTTTCCTTGGGTGTCAGTAACTCTCTAAGAGTCAGCACAGAAAGCAAAGACAGCCTGGAGCTCTACACGGAGTTCACGTACCAAGTCCAGCAAAATAGCATGTCCTTTTGAGTTGCAGCCAACTACAGAGTCGTCCAGCTCCAGATGCAGCCGTGAGCCAGGCACTCTACCTCAAAGACCCACACACAGACACTTTCTTCACTTCTGAGAGCTCTCATGCAGGAAGGATAGAAGGCTGACACCTAATGGTGAAGCCTGATCATGTTTTCTTTTTTTTCTTTGCTTTGCTGGTCATAATCCCCCACAGGCATTTGGCCCTCCTAGGATATCTGGCCTCTGCGATCTGACCGACATTCTCAGCACTTCACCTCTGCAGCGAAATTCACATTCTTTTGTTCAGTTTAAGTAGGAAGACAAAAATCTCCCTCCCTTCATTTCATTCGACCAGTTTACTTGCCTAAATGAATGCTTCCTTTTTTATGTTGGAGACAGAATGTTACACAATTTACCATACAGTACACTACGTTATGTAATGCATGGAAACTGACAGCTCTTCACACACAAACTTCACCCAGAACAATACAGTATATGTCAGTTCATATGGTTTTAAATTTCACGTTTTTTAAACTAAAGAAATATTAAACACAGCCAAACGAGAAAGTCTGTCTTAAAACAGTAGTCCACATGATCTGTGTGTGTAATTTCCTGGTTTTCTACATAAATTGGTGATGAAATGGGATCTGAGCTTCACCAAAGTCACAAATATCAACAAACACAATACTTCTAAGCTGATAAAACACAAACCACACACCATACATAGCACTGTGTGTTCTTCCCAAACAATTCTACCTTCATCTGTCCACAGGACATTTTCCCAGTAGTGTTGTGGAGTTCCAAGGTGGTCACTGGCAAACTTCAGGCATGCTCCGATGTTGTTTTAGGAGAGTAGTGACTTCCTCCGTGGTGTCCTGCCATGGATACCATCCCTGTTCATTAATTTGCATATGACTGACTCATGAACATAGATGTTGACCAACTGCAGTGAACCCTTCGAGTCTTTAGCTGTTACTCTAGGGGTCTTTTCTACCTCACTGAACGTTCTGCATTGAGCCTTTGGAGTGATCTTGGCTGGGTGCCAGCTTCTATGGAGAGTAGAAACAGCGCCAAATCATCTCTATTTATAGACGATATAACTGTGGACTGGTGAATATCTAAAATCTTTGAGATGACTCTGTAGCTCTTTCCAGCTACATGCAAATCAACGACTCACTGTCATTTCATTTTTGCGAGGCATGACTCACATCAGCTGATGCTTCTTGTGAACAAAACGTTGACACTGTTTGGGTGTTTTTATAAGTCAAGGTAAATCTAAACCACACCTCCATTCGCATTTCATTTGCTAACACCTGACTCACACACACATAATGGCAAGACTAAACAACTAAATGGCTAAACAAATGGATCTATCTTCAACAGTTGCTGGTTTTTAATACCAAATTCAGAAAACTCTAAAATACTGTTTCAAGAAACACAGAGAGGGAATAATGTACTAAAAAGACTAAATCTGGGAGATACTGTACCCTTGACTTAACTCACTGCTAAAGTCTCATATTAGTTTCAGCTGAACTTTGGAATGCGTTTTTGTACAGAAGGACTGTGGATTTTGTTCCCCATCCACAAAAGACCAATCCTTTAGGTTAAGTAAAGAATGCAGAAACCCATTGGACTATGATTAAATGAACATGATTTAGTCAACACAATAAAGATTTTTTTTTTCCCTTTCTACCACTGCCATGTCTGTCATCACTTTTTTTGCTTTTTAAAAGTACAGCCAGTGGAAGTGAAGACAATTTAAAGCCTGGAATTACATAAGAAATTAAGTGCATAATTAGTTTTTAAAGTGCTTTACTGTTTTTATCTCTAACTTTTCTTCTCCTATCATATTGGCTGTAGACTCACCCCGGCCATGCAATTTAATTCCTTAATACCAGTGGTATCTTAATTATGTGTCCTGTAGCCAGAGTGGAGCTCTTTAACTGTGGCTGCTGTTGAGAAAAAGGGATAGATATCAATCAGAATTACTTTGTGTCTTGTTCTCTGTGCCTCAGTAGAGAAATTGTACGTACTGGGTGACTACAGTAAATCAGTGAATAAATGGTATTTCCTTAGAAGAAGCCAGAAATATTCTCTTGTCGTTATCATTCAGACTGAGAGAGATGTCTGGATTGTGACATATTAATGCTGAAACCTTTAGCAAGAGAGAGAAAGACAAAAGCAGTTAGCCCTCATCATGACCACATTATGAAGCCCTACACGGCAAATTCCAGCACAACATACAGACGGCGATCGTCCCCTTCATCCTCCTCATTATCACCGTTAAACAAGTTTGCCTGGTTTTCCTCTTGTTGATTTGAGACAAGCCATTAGTATTTTGTTTTGTTTACTCCCGCTCATGATTGCCTTAGATGTTTTTAAGCAGCAGCACAGCTCAAAATCCAGGCATGCCCTGCCTGTAATAGATTGTGACAGGTAATCCAAACACATAACATTAGAATAGGAAGCAGCCACTGATCCAGCCAACTCAAAAAGCCCCCGCAGGCAATTGCAAGGAGTCTTCTTGCAGTTGCAGCATAGTTCAGAAGACTAAAAATATATCTTGTCAGTCTACAGAGAAAATCTCGGGAATTTTATAGAAAACCAAGTGTCACTGATGGTCAAATCATTTTAAGTACTTTACAGATTTATGTGCAACAGTTTTGCTCTTCTTTTGTTTAAAGACTGTGTCTTTTCAGATGTTGAAGTGGTGCTTTCACTGAGGTAAAAAAAAAAGAGAAGATGAATAAATCAGTGAGGCCTCAGACTGCAGGAGTGATCCTGTTACTGATGCTTCCAAGCTTCTTCTGATAATAAACTAGTTAAATAAAAATCAGAACAATTCTTAGCATCTTTTATAGAGTCTTAAAATATTGATAAAAATGTATATTTAATTTTAAATAATTGACCTTTTTGTTTGAAATACTGTTGGGTGAGATTGTAATGAATAATGCATAAGGAATGAGATACTGTAAATCCAAGTGCAGTCAGTGAACAGAAGGAGGTGAATAGTGCATGGTGTTATGAAAGCTGTCATTGAAACACATCACCACCACCATTATTTCTCACCACATTCTTCACCAGAGGAGTTTCAGCTACTGATGTGTGTCTTTGAAAAGGATTGTCCGAGGTCACAGTATGAAACATGAACCTAGAAACTGTTATCCAGAGTGTAAAGAAGTCCAACTTGCAACAAAGTGGGAGAGAATGTCAGAATTACTCGTCACTGATGTCCTTAACTTTTGAATGCTGCTAGGAAAGGAACTTAACTTAGTGTTGTTGCAGATTGATTCGGTTAATTCATTGCACTGCATATATGGAATGTTTGCTCACAGATGAAAGGACCAGCAAAGACGCTGGAGGAGAGACGCTCCAGTCTGGATGCTGAGATTGACTCCCTCACCAGCATCCTGGAAGACCTGGAGAGCAGCTCGCCCTATAAGCCACGGAGCACACAAGTATGTTTCTAACGCAGCCTCTGCATACAAATACACACTGATACATAATGGTGGAAAATGCTTAATTTCATTTGAGTATTGAAATGTTGTGCTACTTTACTATTCTCTACTTTTGGTCTTTGTCCTCCACTACATTGATCCGAGGCCAATAGTTACTGTTTACTTTTCAGATTAAAGGGACGCGCTACAAATTTTCACATGAAGTTCAGGTTACTAATAATGAGGAGTACTACTCTTTCAGTGAAAACATTTGTATATGATAGTTCTTTTCTGTGGCTTTTCTAACCCATCATTTCCACTGTATGCAGCTGCATTGTGTTCCGTCTGCAAAGCGGTCGCTGGAGCTGATCGCTTCCAGTTTAATCAGTGGTTGTGATTCCACCGGGTCCGGCTGCATCATGTCTCTGATACATCGCACATGTGGCTCATCAGGCCACTATGCTAAAAATACACATCTGGTCTATTTTTGACAGATGCTGCATCTGGGACAGTTCTGACAGTTTGACCCACCAATCAGATGGCGCTTTCCCTGAAAGATATCTGTGTGATAGGCTATGAAAATATTATTGTAAAGTAGTCTGTCTGTAGGCTACAGCACAGCAAACTAGGAAATAACAATAAACACGATTAAGAGACAAAACGGAAAACATTTAACTATGAAGAAGAAACTCAGAAATGAAGAAAAGTATCCTAGACGATGGAGCCCAATGCAGCCACATCCAATGGAAATGAGGGATAAAGGTTGTGAAAAGAACTCTGATGATGTCACAGTGATGTCATCAGGGTTATCCTGACTTGGCTTTGAAACTTAAAACTTTAAAACAGAAAGGGAGGTATAGAATTTGAAAGAGAATTTTTTAAGTAGCAAGCAGAGTCAAATGAAAGATAATGTTGCATCATGGGAGATGTAGGATACATCTGTGGCTAATACTAGCAACTAAAGGTTGGCATATCTCAGGCTCTACTGCTTCATTTTTGGGCATTCTTTGTTTAATCAATTTCTCACAAGCCCTCTGACTTTATGGAAGTGAAAAATGTAATCACTGTCAAACCCCTTTAAGATTTTTTTTCCTTGCTCATAGTTTTTCTGTACTTGTAACTGTATTTTTACATTGTACTGGTAACTTTACATATAGTAAAGCTGAGTGTTTCTTGAACTTTGAAGATACACTGCTTTTATATTGCAGTAGATTAGGTTTCTGTGGGACCCATATGTTGCATCTTTCAGAAATGTTTTGCACTAATGACAAAATGAGTCTTGACCTATATCATTAGTTGATATTAAATGATTTTAAGAGTTACTTCAAAAAGTCAAAGCCTTGGGCAGTTCACTAAATTGTTTGACACACAATAAATGTAGGACAGATGGATAAAAAAAAATCCCTAACCAATTGTGTTTGGAGTAGGAAGGCTCAGAGGGGCTTTAACACCATGCAGATCATATCTCTGGTGAGATATTTGAGCAATAATGTAATACCTGAAAGGCTGTTCTCTCTCAAGGCTACAGACATGATGGAGATGTGGCTACAGCAGTACAGCGAATTTAAGCAAAAGAAAATCTTAAAGGTATTATAGAGTGCTTATTCTGTAGGTTAACTACTGTGCTGTGCTGAAACAGGATTAGGATGTTAAAGTTTTAAAAGGGCTCCTGTTTGTCTGTGGCTTGTTACAACATGTAGATATTTACATCCACTGACCTGTTCTGTTGGTGCATGTCAAATAGTGAGTTTTATATGAGGGAACAAGGAAAATTAGAATTTTCCAATTTCATTCATAGCATGTCAGTGAATATACTTATATTTTTACAGACTAGCTGAATTCACATATGAACGGCGATGGTTATGGAAGATGACATTTTTCTGAAATTGGAAAACAAGCACAGTTGTGTTCACAAGTAATCTGACATGGCATTTTGGGGGAAGTGTGCAGTGTGACAAAGACAAAAAGACTGATGGTTTCAAGTGCTTACACCCTTTGGATAAATGAGTTCTGGTTAGAGGGAGAAAAACGGGCGCACTCCACACAAAGTGAAAAGTATTGCACCGCACAGGGGAAACATGGCGGGCAGACGGTGACAGGAAGTGAATGCTGTTGGTCTGAAATGATACACATTAACGGAACTAACTAAATTCGGACTTGATGATTTCTAGTATGCCTAGTTTTGTGGTAGCTCTGTGTTCCCCGAATCTTTACAACGAAGGCAGTGATGGCAAAACGAGCACTGGCTATAGAGTCCCTATAACCACTTCTAGAGGAAATACACTTGGGTTAAATAAAAACAAAGTTATCCATTAAGCTTCTCAAATGCCTTTTTTTTTTTTTTAAGAAAATGTTATAAGTGCCCACCTTTGCTGGGGAAATAACATACAGCATATATTCTGACAGCTTTTGCCAACATGACTTGAATAATTGACCTGCATGGTTCTGTGAGAGACCAGCTTGCTAATGAACGGGTGAATGGCCGTATTAACCCGGTATGGCTGTTGCAGTGGTTTTACCTGTCGGAGCCAAAGTTTGTTTTTATCATAACCTGCGACAAGTGTTTGGAGTTATTGGTGAGAGGACACACCACCTGTGTCTCATGTATTAATCATGAAATGTTATGTAGCATTTTGTTGAGTGTTTTCCCAGTTTAAGACGGTGTCTCTATGTTATCGTGATGCCCGGTTGCTGTTTTGGTGTCTGTTCTCTGATAGCTTTTTGCACATGGAAAGGATGCTCCCTTCTATTGATTGTTTACACTTATTTCACTATTATGAACATATGCACACACACAAGCATACAGTAACTCTCACCTCCGCTGTTGCTGATTCTAGCTGATTAACCCAGGTTGACCTTTTCCCCTTCCCAGCTGCTCCTGTCAGTCTGTGCACGGGTTCTGTCGGTGCATGACTCTACAGCATAACTGGTTTGTGTGTGCAACAGGCCAGATTTTATACTCCAGCATCGGCACCATTGCTGCACAGTAATCTTCTGCTTGCATGAGCCAAGAGTAACGAGCACTTTTGATTTAAGCTCTTTGCATGCACGGTCTTCAAAATGA